CGGAGAGCCCTCCCAAACCCCTGACCTTTGGAGGCTGAATGTGCAGCTGCCTCTCCCCAGGCTCAGCTAGCTGTACACACACAGCTGAATTCCCTGCCCAGCAGCCAAGGTTGCATCTCCCCAGTTCAGCTGGGAGGGCAAGGAACAAAAAGTCCGTGTGTGCTTGGCAGGAGGAGCATCAGGGAGAAACAAGAGAGGCCTCTTCTCCTTCCCCCCAGGATGGCTGGGGGGATTTTTGCAAACACACAACCAGACATCATTTAAACATTGCCCTCGTGCACTGCTTCGAGGGACTCAAACAGAGAGACCTAAAGGTGCTGTCAGAAAAGATTCAAAGTTCTGTTTCCCCAAAGGAGCCCTGCAGGATCCCAGAGGGAGCCTGGAAATCCTGGACTGCCACTCCCAGCAGTGATTCTAACACTGGGTTGGGCTGGGAGGGACCTCAAAGTCCATCCAGTGCCACCCTGCCATGGGCAGGGACACCTCCCACTGTCCCAATGTCCAAGCTGGCCTTGGGCACTGCCAGGGATCCAGGGGCAGCCACAGCTGCTCTGGGAATTCCATCCCAGCCCCTCCCAGGGAACAATTCCTTCCTGATATCCCTGCCCTCTGGATTATTTCAGAGGAATATTTAAATGCAGTCAATAGTTACAGTTCTGTAGGGAAGTACAGAATTCCATGTGCTCCAGAGGAGGCTCATTCTGAGTCCTGCAGAGAGGTGCCAACCATTCCAGGTGGTTCCATGGGAACTCTCCTTCAGCAATCACAGGTCTCAGTCCAGGTGTTCTGTGTATTTTCAAAGTGTATTAACAACTATTTCCTACAAACTGTGCATTTCTATGGAGCACATGAACCTTGAGATGATGCAGAGCTGAACCCTGCCCAGTCATTCACAGCCAATTAGTCATGCCCAGGGCTAGATCCTTCAAACCATATTGGGGAGAGAATCTCCATGGAAATCTGAAGGATCAAAACACAAAAGAAAACCTGAACTTTTGAGAGAACGGGTCTTCAGTGGAATTATTTTAAAGGTGTCATTAGGGTTTGCCAATCTACATTATTAGTAGTAACATGGAATATACCATCAGGCCCTTGATTTTCCAGGATTGCCATCCCACAAAACCTTCCCCTTACAAACTCAGGGGATGGAGAGGTCAGCTCTCCCAGCTGTGGGCACACACAGCCATGGGGGACAATGCAGGGAAAGGGGATTGCAAACTGCTGAGGAAGAGAAACACAGCACAGGCTGAGGAGTCACACACTCGTGACTATTTCACAATTCCAAACACAAATTTTATCACACAACTTGCTCAAAAGCAGAGTTCACAGAGAAAACATGTCCTGTTGGACACTAATTAATTCAATTACCTTAAAAACGCCACATGAAAAAGTAAAATATAATATCCAACACATGTAAGTTTGATAAGAGTAAACCAAACCATGGATGTACTATGTCAGTAAAGTTTTCTGTGTTTTGATTGATTGCAATGAAGGGAATGCTGTAAAAATGAACTTTCTGCATCAAAAATAGGATAACCTTTCTTCCTGGGAATGCCCAAGGATACCTCTCGTCACTCCTTCCCACTCAAAATTATTTAATTTCTATTAAATAGAAATTTTCTATTCTGGTCAAGAAGCTGATCCTCTGGAGGGGACAGACAATGCCCTGTTTGCATAGGCAAGATTAGTTTCTAATTACTATCAGTAATTAGCGCTTTCCTGCAGCTAAAGCTGGAATTTCTCTGTCAGGAACCTGAGCACTTCCAGCCCTGCCACACACAGAGCTCCAGAGAGAAAGATTCATTCCACACAGGAGGATCCACAGACACCTCCATCAGTGCCCTCCCAACCCTCACAGCCTCTCTTTGTTGTACAAGGGCCTGGCAAATACTCATAAAATATATATATTATATAGTTATAAACCCTTCCATCTGCAATTAAAACCCAACACGTGCCTACAGTGACAATGCCAGCCAAAAATAACCAGTGTAATTGAGTATATTCTTTTTAAATGATACAAAATGCACTTTTAAAAGAGGGTAACTCCTCGAGCCACAGATCCCACAGCGGTTTTAGCACCTCACACTGAGGTTTCCTGTGCACAAGTCATTCATCACCAGAGCTCAGCCTGGACCCCGTTTCTGATTGTTCACCACCCCCCCCAATTTCATGCTTGGCAAGTAAAAACAAAACCAAGTTGCTGTGGAGGGGGCATCCCAAGTTCAGCACCGTGTCCAACACAACAGCAACGAGCACTCAAAGCTCCCAGCACACAACAGCAGCTGAGGCAGCCCTTGGGTTATTTTCTGCTAAAAAGAAACCAAAAGCCCTCACATCTTTTGGGTTCCAAGCAGGTGAACTCTGAGCCACCCCCAGCTGAAAGGTGCCCCTCAAACCAAACCAATGTGCTGATGGTTCACTCTGCTCTGGTACTCACAGCACAGGGAAACGTTTGTGGCTGGTAATTCCTGATCCCAGAATGGGATGGGAGGATCTTGGAGCTCACCCAGAGCCACCCCTGCCATGGCAGGGACACCTCCCACTGTCCCAGTGTCCAACCTGGCCTTGGGCACTGCCAGGGATCCAGGGGCAGCCACAGCTGCTCTGGGCACCCTGTGCCAGCCCTGCCCACCCTGCCAGGGAAGGGTTTCTTACAGAAAACGTCCACCCCACTGATCTCCCCATTTCTCAACCCATTGCTTTTATTTTCCTTATTCTTCTACTCCTCTTTTCCCTGGTGTTACCCTAGTAAAAACTAAAATTACAATCCCTGACTACACTACAAAGACACACCATAAAAGTCTATCCAACGTCATGATTTAGAAATATTTCATTGCTAGATTCACATTCTTTCCTGAATCCAAATCTATCCTCATTCCATGATTAGAGGCATTAAGGAAAGGCCACCAAACAGCAGCAAGAGACAGGACAGGCACTGCAGGTCATGGCTCTGAGACCACAATTCTTACTTTATCTAAGAACCAGGACATAAAGGAAAATTATCAAGCAAACACAGCTACTCTGCAAAAGATCTTATGTGGAATCCAAGCCAGTGGGATATCAGAGGGAGCACAGGAGGCTGAAAGAATGAATGTGGTTTGTGAAGCAGCAAGTGCAGGGCACAGCCCACTCAGCTCCGGGGAAGCCTGAGCCTCAGACACTGGAGAAACTGTTCGGAAACTCGTCTGCACGAAACATGACCCCTGTCAGGCTGCCAGAATCCGGGAGGGCACTCCGGGGCTGATCACGCAGCCTGGGCTGCCTCAGCCTGCACGGATTTACAGCGATGGCTGCACAGCCTGAGCTCAGGGAACAGAAAATGCAGCTGCTTTCTCTACCTGTGCTGGCTGGGGATGCAGTCAGGACACCTGCTCAGCACCCACAGGTGGGTATCCCATTCCTGCAGCTGGGAATGGGCATGAAGAGACAGACAAGGCTCCTCTTCCCACACCCCAGACACGGCTCTGGGGGTGCAGGGGGGGAATTTAACAGAGAGAGGAGAATTTGATATTAACTCACAGGTTTAAACTATCACGGAGTGGTGGAATATCCTGAGCTGGATCACCCAGTCCCACCCTGCCCTCCCCAGCACCCCCAGCAATCCCAGCCTGGGCATCCCTGGCAGCTCCTGGAGCTCTGTGCCCATTCCCTGGGGAGCCTGGGCAGTGCCAGCACCCTCTGGGGGAAGAGCCTTGCCCTAAAATCCATCCTAAATCCCTCCTGGCACAGCTCCAGCCGCTCCTCGGGTTCTAAGGAAGTTTCCTGTGTGAGAACATCACCAGGATATATCAAGCAAGGAAGTTACAGGTGACAAGAAAAGGTAAAAGAAACAAGGAAGGACCGTGTGTAGTAACATTCTCCAGAGCCATCAACACCCAAAATACAGCTTGGCTTTTTGATTTTAAAAAATGCATCCATTTGGAGCTTGACTCCAATATATATTCAGTTAATAGTCACAGCTATTGCATTAAATATCTATTGCCACATAAGCTCTAAACAAAAAGCACTTTGAAACTGGGCAGTGGGAAGAGGCAGAGGAGGACAGAGTGTTTCTTGTTTTAACGAGGGCTATACTATCCCACCTGCAATGCTGGTTGGGTTACTAATAGGAATTATTTACTGAACAATACTCTCTGATGAGCCATGGAAGCGTTTTCCCTCCATACAGCAGAGAAAGATAGAATTCATAGAAAATATTGTTTTCTACAAGCAAACCCCATATTTCACCCCAAATAAAGCAGCAGCTGAACCAGAACAAAAGATATCCACAGGGAATATCATCCACAGCCGTGTCTGCTCATCCGAGGCAGAGGCACACACAGGGACACAGCCCTGAACATGGACCGGCTTCCTTTTCCTGAGCCCCGACAACATCCCCTCATTCCCCTGGTGCCCTTTGCCAAGCCCAAAGGGACAGCACTCCCACGGGATGGCGTTCCTAGGGAATGGCATTCCCAATGGAAGGCACACCTCAGGGATGGCATTCTCAATGGAGGGCACACCTCAGGGATGGCACTCCCAATGGAGGGCACACCTCAGGGATGGCATTGCCAACGGAGGGCACTCCCCAGGAATGGCACTCTCAATGGAGGGCACACCTCAGGGATGGCACTCTCAGTGGAGGGCACACCTCAGGGATGGCACTCCCAATGGAGGGCTCCGCTCCTTCCCCTCGCTCAGGGCGCAGCGGCTGCGGGGAGCAGCGGCCGGAGGCAGCAGGACCAAGGTGATTGAAGCTGCAGAATCCCCGCGGCGGTACCGCCACACATTACGGGAACGGGAGCAGGAAAGGCAGCCGGCCCCAGCAAGGGGCTCAGCATCGCTCACCGCCCGCCCCGGCTACCGAGGGAGGCGAGGAGGAGGACCCGGGCCCTGGCACCGCGACACGCCCGGGCACCGTGAGGGGCTGAGGCGGCGCTGCCCCCCCGCCGGCCTGGGCTGAACGGCCGCCGCCGCTCGCAGCCCGCGCCCCCCGCTGCCCCCGTCCCGCCGGGCCGTACCTCATGTCTGTGCGGGCCCTACTCACAGCCCCGGCCGCGGCCAGGGGACCGAGGGGCCGGAGGGGCCGGAGCGGCGCCCGCAGCCGCCTCCGCCGGACGCGCCATCGCCGCCCTCGCCCCGTCTGAGGGGAGGGGGGAGGAGCCCCTCGCGGCCGCCGTACTGACGCGCGGCCGCGGCCCCCGCGTGACGGGCAGGCCGTGTCACCAATCAGAGCCCGAGAAAGCGGCAGAGCCCCGCCCCCTCCGGCCAATCAGAGCTCTGACAGCCCCGTTCTGACGTGCGACCTCCACCCGCCCCCCTCGTGATGGGCAGGGCGCTCCACCAATCACAGGCCAGCACCCGCCTCCCCGGCCAATCACGGTTCTGCCAGGCTGAGGGCTCAGTGTTCGGGGAGCGGTGAGGGGCGGCCGCGCTCCCTCCTCGCCGCCCGCGGGAGGCGCCTGTATCGTGCATTCGGTGTTAATTCATCAGGTAACTGCAGGTGGCGTCTCCTCCCTCTCCTCGGCGATGTGCCAGAGGTCGCGCCGGGCGCCGTAGCCTCCCGCCTCGCCTCATGCAATGAGTGACATCCACGCGGGCCAATCACGCCTCGGCTTTCACGATGAATGCCGGTCATATTGACCAATCGTGGCGCTCACTCCGCTGCAGAAGGCTGTGATTGGCTGCAGGGCGGGGACAGTGCCTGAGGGCAAGGCGGAAGTGAGGGAGTGTCATGGCAACCGCGGGCGCGTCGCGGTGCTCGGGATTCCCGCGGAACCGGAGCCCCTGAGGGACTCCCCGGGGCTGCTGGAGCCTCTCGGTGCGGGCCAGGTTCGCTCGGAGCCTCCTGAGGGACTCCCCGGGGCTGCTGGAGCCTCTCGGTGCGGGCCGGGTTCGCTCGGAGCCCCTGAGGGACTCCGCGGGCATGGCGGGTCGGGCACGGGCGTGACATGCAGAGGTCTCGGGGTGGTCCCTCAGAGATTAGAGCTGCAATAATGCTGTCATGATTTCCTGCCTCTCTGCTCCCCGCTCTTCTTTTTCCTTGTTAAGTCGTTTTTACTGTTTGGTTATTTTGTTGTTGGTTTTTTTCCTTTCTAAAAGGTTCTTGTTCATTGAGGACGACACGGGCCGAGTCGGGAGAGGAGAGCAGAAACCCAAGTGGTGATTTTTGGTGAAGTCACACGTAAGGTTCGCTGTATTCCTGCACAGGAATTCCCTGAATTGTGTGGCTGGGTGGCAAAGAACCCCTCTGTTGCACGGGGCACCCATCAGTAAATCCTGTGTCCTTCAGTGCCTTTTCTGCTGTACCTACATCGGTACCTGAAGGGGCTCCAGGAGAGCTGGAGAGGGACTGGGGACAAGGATGGAGGGACAGCACACAGGGAATGGCTTCAAAGCAGGATCTGATGGGATTTGGGGCAGGAATTGTTCCCTGGCAGGGTGGGCAGGGCTGGCACAGGGTGCCCAGAGCAGCTGTGGCTGCCCCTGGATCCCTGGAATGTTCAGTTCCAGGTTGGACACTGGGACAGTGGGAGGTGTCCCTGCCATGGCAGGGGTGGCTCTGAGGGGGATTTAAGGTCCCTCCCAACCCAAACCAGTCTGGGATTCTGTAATCCTCAGTCCTGTGGATTTTCTCTGTTATGGGCAACTAAATCTGCAAACAACAGCTGTGTTTCTTATAGAGTGGTTTAATTTAATTTAATTTAATTTAATTTAGCAAGGCTTTAATGCCTTGTTTGCCCACAGACACTGCAGCTGTCACAGTTTGGTTGCTGTGTTTTTCAGGTCACTATGAAGGCCCTGTATGGTCAGCAGAATTCTCCTGGAGAGGAAATGACATTTGTGTTCCAGGAAAGAGTGAGTTGCCATCAGAACAGCTCTGTCCAGCAGGCAGGGCAGAGGAGAGTTTGGCTGAGTGCCACAGGGGAATTGAGGCACAGAAATCTTGGGAAAGGACTGGTAGGATCCCTGCACACACAGGCAGGGGAGGTGCATTTTGTCATCAGGCAGCATTTGCCAAGACCACTGCTGGACTTCTCTGCAGTTTTGGTATCCAGACTTTACAAACAAGCTTTTCAGGCATGAAAAATGAACCATGCATCCACATTTCCTGGATGAATTTGCTGGTCACTGAAAAAGTAGAAATAGAGCCTGAGGAGTTTATCAGGTTTGGAGTTGTTTCTTTGATATCATTTGAACTTCATTTTGGACTTGAATGTTGACCTCAGTGGGTTTGTCAGGATTTGTGCCTCAAATAAAGGGAAATTAAACCTCAATAGAAAAATAATGTCAGAAAAATAATGGTGAGGTTTTGTAATGTCTAGTGGTCAGTTTACAATAATAATATCATAATATAGGGACATAATAATAATGATAATGATAAGTAAGGTCTAGTGACCAGTTTGCAATAATAATGTAATAATATAATAATATAATGCTAATACTATAATAATAATAGTAACAGTGATAATAATAATAATAATAATAGTAATAGTAATGATAATAATAATATTAATAATAATAATAATAATAGTGTACTTTAAATGGTGTTGTAAACCCCTTTTCATTGAAAATACCAGCCTGCTCTCCCTACAAACAATCTAAGAAGTGGAGAAGTGCTCTCAGGAGCTGGAGAAGCTCCTGTGGGCACATCCTTTGTCTAACACAGCAACTGTAAATGTGTCCTAGGAGAACCTTCCTGCCACCAGAGACCACGATGTGAAGGTGCAGGTCAGAGCCTGTGCCCTGAGCTGGCTGGACACAGAGGTATTTGCTTGGTGCTGTCAAACTGGGGGTGTCTGTGCTTCCCATGGCCCTTGGCACAAGCTGAGGCTGTGGCTTTGCTGCTGGCAGTGGGCACAGGACTGGGCTGGGGTTCTTGCACAGCTCTGAATAAAAAGCATCTGGAATTTGGTTCCTAATTGATGGAGACAGGTCAGTTGTTCAGCTGTGAAATGTCTTGCAGTAAATCCCTTTTATCTTCATCTGCACCTAGGTTTGCTTGGCTGATAACTCCCTGCTTTTATTTTTTAATATGCTTCTAAATTTAAATACAGAAATCAATGCCATGGCTTAATTTTGACTGAGAAATGTGTGCACTTTCTTCCCCTTGGTAACATTTTGGTAATGGCCCAACCTTACTGTGATGATCCAACACTGTAAGATGATAACAAATGTGTAAATACAGAGCTTTAGCAAGAATGTTGTAAGCTTTGTTTTCATTTAGCTCCTGTCAGAAATTAAACTGAAGAAGGAACTGGTGCCTGTTGGGCGAGAAATTTCAGGAGTTGTGCTGGAAGGTGAGTGAGGGATCAGGGATTCCAGTCAGAACAAAGAACTCCTTGGGGTGGGGCACTTTAGGAACGGGAATTCTGCTCCCTTGACTGCTGTGCCAGTGCTGTTATCAGTGCCCCGAGGTGCAGTGTCCAGGCTGGCTCTCACACACCACCTGAGAGTTCCTGCAGGGAGCTCCTTGTGGGTGAGGAGCCACAGTTTAGGGGATTGAACATTCGGGCTTGGCACGTGTGCAATCAATAGAATTATGTTTTGTTCATTAGAAATGTGTCTCTTTAATTCTGTGAGCTGGTGATAACCAGTGCTTCCAAATGCACATCCCATTCCTGCTATAAATATTTCTCTTTTTCCCTTTTTCCTCCTTTTCACCTCTCCCTGGTGAGTTGGAAGCAAGGTGACCTTTTTCCAGCCAGATGATGAAGTGGTGGGTAAGTTACTGCCTGTTTGCCTCAACTGGCACCAACAGTCACCTTTTTATAATGAATGACTGAGCTTAGAATAATTGATAAAGCTAAATTGACCATGTATTTTCAAAATTAAACTGCTGCCACATGCATAAACTTATAAATGGGGATTCTGTTCTGAGAATGTTCCCTTAGGATTTGAAATATGATGTTGTATTAACCACCAAATTGTGACTGATGCCTTGGGAGAGAGGAGTTATTTCTTAGGGCCATTCTGTCCCACATGTTTATATTTTGTGTGCTGAATGAAAGGATTAGATGATGACTGAAGTTCTGAAAGTGGGGCAGAGTGGAGAGTGATGTGGGGAGAATAATGCAAGGTCCTTCTTGCATTATTCCCTCATTGCACAGGAGCAGCTCCTGGAGACTGAATATTCCCTGGATAAACCCTGGACACAGCTCCAGGTGTGCACAAGCACGTTTTTAATGGGAACTCTGAAATTCAGACTGGACACAGCAGCCACATTTGCAAGGCAAAGCCCTTTGGTCTAAATGGAGTGGGAGATTTGTGGGGGAGAGGGAGGAAAAGAATGGTTTTCCCTGGGATGGGGGGGACATGAATTCAGGAGATGGAGCAGCTGCCAGAACCTCCTGTTCAGGAGGGTTCTGTGACCAGGTAAAAAACTCAGTTATAACCAGGATGGAGGGGTTTTCTGCCTACTCTGCTTTTGCTTCCTCTGCCTTCCCTGGGTAGTTTGGTTTTCCTGCACTTCATTTTTCCTATTCCTGCTTTTTAACACTTCCACATTGCTGTGTGTTCATCCTCTGCTTCTTCTGTGCCTCTGTTGCTGCCTCTGCAAAGCACAAGTTCAGGAATTGGGATGGGAGGTGAGAGGGGCTGTGGGGTGGCTGCTCTGTCATGCACAGCCTGGATGAATTCAGACATCCCCAGACAAAAATGAACCTGCCAGTACCAAGCAGCATTCACTGGTGTTCCCATCCTTTCTCACCCCATCCCAAAATGCTGTAGAAGCAGCTCTGGAACTGCCTCGTGGACACCCTGGGCTGGGACCTGGCCAAGGTCTCTTACCTGTCCTGAACCTGCCAAGAGGGGACTGAACCCAGAGCAAGCAGGACCAGGGAATTCCTTGGGAGAGTGCTTTGGTTGGAATGATTGCTTGTGTGAAATTCAAGGTCTGTGTTCTTTTTTTTTTTTTTTTTCCCCCAGGAATTTTGCCCCTGGATTCTGAGGAGTCTGGTGTCTGTGAAGTTGTCCTGGTTCACGAGCATTATTTGGGTTTGTAGATTATACATTTTGCTAATTATTGTTTTCACTGTATCTGTTGACTTTGTTTTAGCTTTTCTAAAAGGGAGCTCTGGGCACACTCCT